ATATATGGCTTAGGGAATATCTGACTGTTATGTACTTAATATTAGATATAAAAGCATTAAAAACTAGATAGTTTTAACAAAATGCAATCAAATTTAATGTAGAAACTGTAGTGAAAGATTGAAATTGTTCATTAAAACCCAATAAACTTCTTCCCGTAACACATTAAAAAGCACAATGCAAGTATATATATATATATATATATATATATATATATATATATATATATATATATATATATATATATATATATATATATATATATATGGTAGACGGTCAGAGAAAGTTATGAATCAGACTATATATCTAATATAAACAACACATTCGATATACATAGATGTTACAGATAAATTATGAAATCATAAATAATATAAGCTCAAAAACAATAGAAAGATGCTAACGATGAAAAAAATTGTTTTTTTAATCAAAACGAAGTCAATTTTGATGGTTCTATACCTAATATTACATACATGACAGCCACGTATTCATTTTTTTCCCATATATATATATATATATATATATATATATATATATATATATATATATATATATATAATATATATATATATATATATATATATATATATATATATATATAAAGAGAGAATACAACCAAAAGTACATACAATCTTATAGGATTTGAAGGGCACACCCAAGGTTAATAGAAAATCAAGCAAGTACATTAGACTAAATCAACCATTCACTCTCTGCAATCTGACACAAACTCATGTATTCTATTTATACAAAAAAAATACACAATGAATACATCACACTTATACACATATGAATCAATGAATGTATTGTACTCTCAAAATCCTTTCAAAATTTTCCTACTACCACAAATTCATCAAAAAGTCTTCCAAAATCTGAGTGATGATCACATACTGCAGAAATTAATCATTCTCACGTTATTCCCACAAAAACTCTCGACCCCTCTCTCTCTCTCTCTCTTTTTTTTCTCACATTGGCTGTTCAGAAACACACCGAGGTGTGTTGATTCCCGGTGAAAACAAGGAGGCGACAGCCTCTCTTCTACCCCCTTTCCTTTCGATTGGAGCAACCAATACACCCCCTCTTGTTCGATGGCTACAACGTTGCCCTCCTTCTTTCCCCCCTGTTCACCACCGGCCAAAAGAAGAGGCTGCCGGCCGCCATGATACTCCTCCTCCTCATACTACTTCTGTCGAGTGCCAATCCCACAAACACCCCTGTAAACACAAGAAACAACCCAAACATCCTTTCTCTATATCAATTTTATGTGAAAAGCAAACCCAAACATCCAATTTCCAATGATTTCTATAAAAAAAATAAATAAATAAATAAAAAAAAAAAAAAGAAGAAGAAGAAGAAGAAGAAATTGAAAGAAGATCAGGGGAGCTGCCGGAGCAGCCCTGTCCACGTACCTTTCAACCAGCAAGAGCAAAACGACCGAAGTGGCTGTTTCGTTCGTGTAACTGTTCGTTTTCATTCATGTTCCATTTCGTTGGATTTATCAGACAAGGGCACAAAAGCGCTAATTTTTTTTTTTTTTTTAAATAATCCAATTGGCCGATTCATCCCCTACAAATATTGAGTAATGCCAAGACAACCCTTATTTGTAAAGATTGATCAAATATGGTCGCTTTTGATTAATTAATTTACTAAGTAAACCTCCTTTTGCTGAGTTATTTCCAAAACAGCTCCTTTTGTGAAATACATAACAAATTAGCCCCTCTTTGTATTAAAATGACCAAACAACTCTCGTTTGTAATATTTGATAAAAACCAGTCCCTCCATAAATTATAAAAGACCAAAATTGTTTTTGTTTGATAAATCATTTCCAAAACAAACCTGGAACTGTTTTAAAGTCCAAGGAAGGTGACTTGGCAATTATTCACGAGAAGTTTCACCAAAACATCGGGATCGAGATCATGCTATGAAAGTTAGTTTCTATGGCCACTCTTTTATTTTTTTAATATTTATGAGAGAATGTATGCGTGTCTAATTAAGTTTTGATGATTTACATTAGTTATATGTTAAAATAGCATCATATTTTGATATTGGTCAAACGCTTATGAAATAACAAATCGAAAATGTATAGATCTTCAATAAATCACATAAATTATAGTAGAATGCTATAAATGACATAATTACCCCTCGTTGTAATATATTACTTAATGATATCAAAAATCACTAGATTATATGTAAATTGCTATAATAACACAAGTTGGTATTGTAATTCACGAAAATGATGAATTCACATGTATAAGTTAAATTATCGACTGGAAGCATGAACCGATATATAAATGACCAAAAAATATATTTAATTATAAAATGAAAGTACATTGTCATAAATTGATGGAAAGGCTAATATTATCAAAATGTATAATTAATAGGTGAAATTATTCAAATTTAACATTTAACATATAAGGCCGTGTAAAAATGAAAGGAAAATGTATTAATATATTTTTATATTAATTATAAATATACAACTCAATTTATTAAGTTATGAATTTTTATTGCAATAAATAACATGACCGATTTCATGACTTAATAGTCGTTATTTGCGAAATATTGTATAGCATTAATCATGTAAATTATAAATATTATAGGAATTGTTGGTTTCACATTGGTTGACACCTGGAAAATATTATCAAAACAGTCGTTATGTTGTCCAAATTTCATCATGACAGATAATAAAACCTGAAAATGTATTAAGTCTCATGAACCTCAAATACCATAAGAGTTCTATCCATAATCAATCAAAAACATTAAAGAATTATAGGTGTCTGATATATACTTATAATGGAGAGTTTAAGATTAGGATGCCTAGTCTCATTGTTAGGATCCATCACACCCATAGGACGTTCTATATGAGCTAGGTTTGTTCTAAAAGCTTTATGTGTTAGGATCATTTCCTAAGCTGCATTAGCTATGTTTATACAATACTAAGACCATACATCTTAGCAGAAAGTCTTCTGTGTCATAACCGTTAATCGTATGGAACGAGGAACAATAGGTATAAGTTCAATATTGGAGACATATATGGGTTGACATCCCACCACTGGTTGCTAGCTACAACCATCAACTGACGAGTCGAAACGAGCGTTGTTGTTTCGTAAATGATAAATTCCACGACGGTAAATAATCATCGGTTCTAATAGCTTTATTTTTTAGGATCCATCACACCCACATGACGTTCTATACGAGCTACATTTGTTCTAATAGCTTTATTTTTTAGGATCATTTTCTCAGCTGCATGGGGTATGTTTATATAATACTAAGTCTGTACATCTTAGCGGAAAGTCCTATGTATCATATCGTTAATCGTATGAAACAAGGAACACTAGGTATAAGTTCAGTATTGGCGACTTATATGGGTTAACATCCCACCACCGGTTGCTAGCTACAACCATTGGCTGACGAGTCGAAACGAGCGTTGGCGTTTCCTAAACGATAAATTCCACGACGGTAAATAATCATGGGTGTGGACATTCAACACTAAAACTTGCAAGTGTTGGTGCAGAGGCGTTCGTCACAGTTCGGTTATAACATCATTATAGATCATGGGTTCGCCTTGTCACCGTATAGAATTGATATTAGGTTGTATGGTATTTTTGTTCGGTGATGCTAGTTGAAAGAGACTGTACGTAGTAAGATAGCTTGTGACTCAAAGTGATAAGTGTCAATACCATAAATTAAGTTGTATAACACTTAATTAATATCACGACACGACTGATTAATGTCAATAACTTATAATTAATAAGTTATTTATATAAACCTTATTTTTTATACTAAAACATAATATTTATGTGGGAGGAGTTTGCTACACTGGCTAAGTGTCGGTTCCCAAATTAAGTAAGATAATACTTAATAAATACTATGACGCGAATTTACAAAGTTTATAAATTTGAAACTTAAGAGTTTTACATATAAACTATACGAATGCTTATACAAGGTTTCAAGAGTAAATTCATATATATTTTTCTTTTCACAAAGAGTGATATGACTTTCATTTATATAAATGGGTATTTAAAATCTTTATATAAAAAGCATTTTTGGTCATGAGAACCGTAAAGATTTGTTATAAATGTATATATTCAACAAATGGTTATATTTTGATTTGAGCAAACGATATATTTTTAAATGAGTCCAAAGAAACTTTTAAAACACATTTATTTTTATACTTTTGATAAAAAAAAATATGCATTTATACAAGCTATTCAACCAGAGAAATTTTATAAAACACTTTTGGAATATAAAATTACTTCATGTCAAAACCTGTAAAACTCACCAACAATTTGTGTTGACGCATTTTAAATGCATTTATTCTCAGGTTATTTAGCAGGTCGAAAGTGTTCACTTAGAAGACTCTCTGTATTTTATTATACATTTTTAAACGCCGAATTGTTAGGCGTGTGTCGTGATTTAGCAATAGTCGTTGTCAATGTAATTTCTATTTCGGTCACTACAAGAAAAAGGCCTTTTACGACGCTCATTGCGCGTCGTAAAAGGCTCAGACGACGCGCAAATGCGTGTCAAGGAAGGCCCTGTCATAAAGAGAGACGACGCGCATTTACGACGCGCAATTACGACGCGCGTTTACGACACGCAATGCGTATCAAGGAAGGCCCTGTCATAAAGGAAGATGACACGCATTCGCGTGTCGTAACCTTACGACGCGCGTGTTAATGACACGCAATGCGTATCAAGAAAGCCCCTGTCAAGAAAGGCCATGTCATAAATGAAGATGACACACATTTTTGCGTATCGTAAATTTAAATGTTTAAAAAAAATAAATTTATATATTTATTAATTTTTAAATTAAATTTTCATTTAATTTCTCATAATAGAAATAAAATACCATATACAAAAAATACAATCCATTGCATAATATAAAATAAAATTTCATACTCAAAAAATAAAATAAATTACACAAATTGTAATGTCATACAAAGAATCATTCAAATGTTAAACAAAAATAATACATTGCTAACATGGGTTATACATTCCTATAAAACTAACAAATAATCATACAACTCTATTTCTTACTGGAAAGGAATGTCAAACATGATTACAAGTCTCCCTTAATCTTGATTACTCACCTGCTTAAGTAGAATGTTGTTGTTGAGAAGGTTACCTAGCAACAGAGAAAAACACAACACCTCTCCCACAATCACAACATCATTTACAGAGAAAGGGTTGTCAATTACTTTCATTAAGACTTTCATTCAATCACAAAAATATTAAATAAAAGGGTGAAACAGTAACTTACTTTTGATAAGTTGATCTCCCTTAGAGCAAACACAGCTAAAGCATTGAACAAGACCCTATTTCCCTCTTCTTTTAAAGTTTCCAGAATGTTTAGAATGCTCTCCTTACCTTGTTATTTCAAGTGTCAGGGGAAAAAAAGTCATCACTTTTGGTTCCCTATCAGATGCAGCATCAAGAACAGAGAACATGATCTCACCAAACATAATCAATAATCAGATTGAATTATATATTATGAGTAAGTAATAAAGTACATGTAACACAATAAAGTATTATTAAGGAACTTATGAGTTCAAATATTATTTTTTACACTCAGATGCCAAAATATTTTATGTTATTCTTCTACAAGTTGAGAACCAACTCAAACATGAAAGATAATAGTCCATCTGGCAACTTTTGATGACATGGCAAATGAAATTTCTCAGAGATAGAATAATACCTGTACTATTAAAATGATGGCAACCACAACAGGTGGTCCAATAACTACAGCCAAAAACATGCCTTTAATCATGTCTGGAAAGAAAAGAAAGATTGTTTGCTGCAATCATAAATCCCATGTGTTACAAACTTATATCCAAATTTAAATTAAATAAAAAGAGAAAACTGTAAAAACAAATTATATCCAAGGTAATACACCATACAACAAAATAGCAAAGTCCATCAGTATTGTTACAAACCCATGAAGGAAGTGGAAGTTACTGGAAAAAAAAACATATGATTTGAGGCCAATTCTCCATTCTTCCTAATAAGATAAATTGAGAAGCATTTTTCAAAAAAACACCATTTTCTTAATTATTAGAACACATTAGGAAAGCTTTATACTCTTTGATTTAAGAAGCTAAGTAAACTATAAGAAATCCACAACAAAAAGAAACTATAAGAAATCCACAACAAAAAGATTTGAAACTTACCTGTCCAGTAAGAAGAGGGGTATCAGCAACAAGCTTGAAAGCAACAGGCCTTGGAGTACGCACAGGCCAAGCCTGCAAATAAAAGGTGCATCAAGTATAAAAGAGAACAGGGAAACTGATATTAAAAACAAGAACTTTGATCATTAGAATAAAAGAGAGAGAGAAAAATAGAGAGGGAAGAAATGGAAGGAATGACTCATTCCATTCCATTCCATTCTATATTCCAACCTTTACCTTGTTTTCTTATCATTATCAGTTGTATCTGCACCTCTTTCATTTCCTGCAAGATTTATAAACGAAGAATGGCATGTGATCGTGAAGATTCCTCATTTGCATCTGTTGTCCCTGTGATTGTAAATTAGTAAAAGCATAATATAAAAAACTGAAGTAGAGAAGTGACTTGTGTACTTGATAATATATTTCTCATTTAGGCAAAACGGCTTGAAACAACCTGTTCTTCAATAGGAGTAACTTGACCAATGCAACGTTTTTTCCCAGATCCTGAAACCCAAGAACTGCTACCAAGCACACGTGCCTCCATGTCCAGTACTGCATCCATTTTTTCCTTCCAACCAAATTCATCCTTTACTCTACCATAAATTTCTAAAGTGTCTATTCTTGGTAAAGTTGATCTGTTGAAAGTTGTTCCTATGGAGATTGTAATTTCTTCATCAGCTAGAAGGGATTCTGCAACTGTAAATGGGATGTCATACCATGACCTCATGCCTTCGTCTAGTTTTATAACTCTTTGGAAAATTGTTATCTCAGAGGGTATATGGTTTGCTAATGTGTTCCCCACAGGGACACGAAATCCAACCATTACTATGTTTGGATTCGAATTTGAAACTGTTACCTGGAATGGGAAAACACAAGGTATCAATCATGAATCAATACAAATAATTCAGGGACTGTTTCTTTTTTCTTTTATTTTCCCATCAAGTCTTGTATGGTAAAGTGGCTGAATGGTTAGCAACTATAAAACAGCCCCTAAGACCAAATGACCATTTTACCCTTACATCCCAACAAACAGATTTCATAATCATCATCAATTTTAACATGAGAGAAGTTGGTGGAAAAAATATTAAGGGCAAGTAGGGGAAGGGTTGGTGTTTTGATACACTAAGCTGTCCAGATTAAGTGGTTAACCAAGAAAGCCCATCAAGTCAAACAAAAAAGTATGCCGACATGCGAAAGCCACGTTTCATCAGTACATTATTTAGGGAACCTTTTAATTATGCATTATCTCTAGAAAACCTTGATCATATTTATTGCATTTCAACTTTTATCGATCAAAGTCGATTATATCGAACGATAATTAACTTACACCTTATAAAAAAAAGTTAATTGATGAATCAATTAAAATGCACTCTTTCTTGTTCGGCCCATACATTTTTACAAAAGAGTTTTTTTATTTTATTTTATTTTTAAATTATTATCACAAACGGATATTTTGTAGGAAATGACACGTAGATAGCCGACATTGCCAAATGTAAAAAGAAAGAAAGCAACGGGGATGAATCCAGTGGGATGGCAGTACGATTATACACCTGTAGAACACATATCAGACCCTAATCCAACAGGTGTGCCGTTAGTGTAGTGTACATATATGTGTTTGACAAAAGTAGTTTTATTGGTTGTATATCATTGATGGAATTATACCTAGAACGAAATTGCATTGTAAGTCTATAGGATTGAAATTTATGGTAATATGAGTGATTGCAATACTATTATTCGAGGAGTACAAGCTTGTTCCATAGGTACCTGACATAACACAAGGTGACGTGGCATGATAGGATATTCCATTTCCTCCACAAAATCCGTCTCATCAGAGGCCCCACCACCACCACCATCGTTTGCTTCCTCTACCTCGAATGCCTGTTCAAACCAAAACAATAATTTTACAAAGGGCATTTTCGGAATTTTAGTAAAAACTTACTTTCTTTCTAAATTGTAACTAACCTGGCAGACAAGTAGCTGTTTTTGGTATTGTAACTTTGACACACGTTCTTTTAATTCAGTAACATAAGTTTTTATGCTTTGAATATTATCTTCACCTGTTGTTTTAGACATCATTTGAATCTTTTTCAGATTTGGTTTGCTTTGTGCAGCAACAACAGGAGGAGTAGTAGTACTAATATTTTTGTCCCCTTCACTCTGTTGATTATATGGAGCCATGTTCTCACGCCCCCAACACAACTTCTTTAAGGGATCAAATTACTTTGAAATTGACCTTGATATTCATCGATTTAGTTACATAGCAAGAAAAGGATTGGATGCATTTCGTGAACGTCTAAAACACGGGATTATGAATCTCGGCTTAACAATTCAGGTAATCTAAATCTAATCATGAATTGTTGATGTACTTTCAAACTATTACAACTTTTTCCCTCCCTAATATTTTTTCTTGTTAAAAAAAACATACAGGCTCAAAAACCAGAAGAATTACCCGAGAAAATTCTTTGCTGTTTGAGATTAAACAAGATTGACTTTGTCAATCAAGGTCAAATACCCACATTAGTCGCAGATGATCACAATTCCAATTCCTCTTGAAATCATTCTTCCTTCTTTTCTTTGGTAAAATGTTCCTGCCCACTGTAAGTACACAGCTGCAATCCCAGTAAAAAAAAAGGTGAATTTTTGCTTAAACCGAGTTAGAAAAGTAACAAAAGGTAAAAACTTTTCATTGTTTCTTCAATGTCAATTTTGAATGGTTAACGATACGGGTTCATTGTAATGTAAGTTGTTGTACATATTGATGTATCGATTGTTATTGGTTTTGTAAATACAGGATCATTTTCATTTTATAAATTATTGTTTTTAGTTTCATTTTGTATTCTGGTATTTACCTCTATCAAAATATGAACGTTTGACTTTGTTGAACCTGGTCAATCATTATCAGATTCGTTCGTGGGAACCGAAGCCTGTTACAAAATAAAAATAGGAATAAATCATTACTAAATCATAAAAGTTAAAAGTTAAAAAGTTCTAATAACAATCAAGACCAAAATATCCCCACACTAAGAGCCAAATCTGTCATCAAGTTCTTTTGAAAGATCTCCATCAGACATGAAAAACTTTAGCAATTGTGCCCTTGAAGGATCCTTTATGATGTTGTCTATGATATCAACAGCTTTGGAGACTCCACATTCGTGTGTGTCTATGCACACACAAACACCATCTAGGAACTAGGACGACGTTAGCTCAATGGTAAATTAATTAATATCTGTATATATATATATATATATATATATATATATATGTGTGTGTGTGTGTGTGTGTGTGTCTAACAGTTTAAAGTCTAAAGAAAATGACAAATTATCTTATGTTTCAGATGGTGATGCTTACTGTGTATGCGTTCTTATACGGGAGATTATATCTCTGTTTAAGTGGATTAGAAAAAGCGATTATGAAATCAGCAAAGATGCAAGGAGATAAACCTTTGAAAGCAGCCATGGCTTCTCAATCTGTAGTTCAACTTGGTCTTTTAATGGCGTTACCGATGATTATGGAGATCGGACTCGAAAGAGGCTTCAGAACTGCACTCGGTGACCTAATAATCATGAACCTCCAGCTCTCCGCTGTCTTCTTCACCTTCTCTCTTGGCACCAAACTTCACTATTTCGGTCGCACAATTCTCCACGGCGGCGCCAAATACAGAGCCACCTAACCATCTCAATGTGGTTCCTAGTCGTGTCGTGGCTGTTCGCCCCTTTTCTTTTCAACCCATCCGGATTTGAATCGCAGAAAATCGTTGAAGACTGGGACGACTGGTCAGCGTGGATCAGAAACCACGGTGGAATCGGTGTTCCGGCGAACAAAAGCTGGGAATCGTGGTGGGAGGAAGAACAGGACCACCTCCGATTAGGGCTTTTTCTAACAATTTCAACATCGAAGAAACAATGAAGAACAGGACCACCTCCGATTAGGGCTTTTTCTACTGCTACTTCTTCACCATCTTGTATTTTTTCTGTATTTAGACTTGAGAGTATAATTAGGGCTTTTTCTAACAATTTCAACATCGAGTGGGAGATATGGTGGTTCCAGTAGGTAGAAGTGAGGGAAGAAGTAAGCAGCAGTCAATGTCGGGAGGGGGAAGGAAGGAGCGTCCAGGGCAAGAGGGAAAGGAGAAAAAAAAGGAAGGCGGGATTTTTAATTTTTTCAGAATTTCATTTCCCCCTACTGTTAAAGGATGGAACGCGCGTTCCATTAAAAATTATAAAGCGACATCCTTAGACGACGCGCATTTTATTATAGGTGCCCTCCGTGTTTTTTTTAGACACTAATTTAAGGGCGCGCAATAATGCGTGTCTTCTATCCTTAAATTTTTTGAAGAGATGACATTTTTCTAATGTCACTCTCCTTTGCGTAACATAGATCAATGAGCGTCGTATTTTGCGCGTCGTAAAAGGCCTTTTTTCTTGTAGTGGGTTATAATAGATGACTATATTTGTATTGTTCAATGTATGTTCAATAAATGTGATTATTGATTATGTTACCCACATCGGCGTTTTCGGCTGTGGCGGAGGGTGTACAGATTGGTATCAGAGCTATTGGCTATTTTGAACTAGTACTTCCTTAGGAAAGTGCGACTATAGCGTAGGGATTACTCTCTTAGGGTCGGTATATTCCTTAACCTACAAATATAAGGTTATACATATATACATATATGAACTCGAGCCCTTTATTTTTAATACAATGCAAGGTTTTAGGTCAAACACCTTAGCTAAGTTGGTTGTACATGGGCCTAACAACAACTAGACATAAAGTTATCTCATATGTTTAATTATGGTTAGACCGATGTAAAATCAAGCTTGAATTTGGTTGTTGGTTGATTAAAATGCTTGGAATCCATAATATTTAAAGAAAATCACAGTTCAAAACGCTTAAGAACTCCCAAAATTTTAGTAAATGCTTACGAATACTTGGCAATTATTTAACTCAAATACTCATGAAACTATAAGTTTCATTGACATAAATTATGTTCGAAGTTTATCTAGGAATGCTAATTTCTCAAATATGATATTCTACAAATGCTTCTATTAGATGTCTCATGAATACCATGTCAAAATATGTACATTCGTGAATCTTTTTGAATTAAGATTAGGTATTTAATCAATTTGTTTCTTTCTACTAATAACCGTCCGACTTATGTTGAACCATCCAATTCCAAAAGAAGGCCACCTACACCTTTAAGGACACCAACTTTACCTGGTAGAACTACTATACATAAATTATAAGCTTTGACTCCGCTTATGCCACAACTTGAGAATAACTAAAGAAGATGCTCATGGAATTGAGATACATAAATTAGAATAAGCATTGGTTAAAGAAAAGTTTGTTATGAAGATGATGAAACTACCTAAGATTGAAGAACCAAGAGGTGACAACTCGATTCAGAGCAATCGTGATCGGAAAAAGGAACGAAATCTAGGAAACATTAGCAGTATTTGGTGTATTTCTTAATAAACAATCATATGCTAAAGTACCATTAATTAGGATATGCAAAGAAATCCTTGAGAACCCTTAACATAAACCTAGTATGAGTCATGAAATTAGTAGTTTGAGGAAAACATGTAGAGTAGAGACAGCTAGTGAGCTATCATAAATCTACACGCAAAATTTTAATGAATTTTATTCTAACATCTACGAAATCATGTTTGTCACATCAATCTCATGCGTATGTGTAACGCCCGTAGATCCAAAATAGTTAATTTAGAGATAATAGGGGTCGAAAATGACTTTTCGACAAAAGACTATTTGGAATAAATAATCATAACCAAGTTGTAGAGTATGTCTCAAGGGTTCCGTACATATAAAGAATGCCGAAATCCGAGTTATAACGAAGAAGTTATGACCCGTCGAAGTTTCGTGACGAAACAGGCACGACACCGGGAATCGTAAATAGTGAATTTACGATAGAGCGATTTTTAGCCTTAGCGATCTAAACGAAATTCGTAGAATACGTTAAAATGAGAGCTTACATAAAAAGAATACCCAAATCTGACTTCGTATAAGGAAGTTATGATTTTTCGAAGTTTCGGCTTAGCAGTGTACAACCCAAAGTTTCAATATAAGCCGAACGATTTTTAGCCGACATAAACGACAATCGAGGATCTCGTTAATAGTAGCATAACAATAAAAAGTCAGAAGAAAATAGATGTTGGATGAAGAAGTTATGACTTTTTAACGGACCAATCATGTCCCGGCATGTTAATAATATAACTTTTAAAATAAAGTTAAAATTAGCCGACAGAGTCTAAACGAAAGTTGTAGAGTACGTTTCCGCCTATGCGTGGATATATAGAACGTCCAAAATGGAGCTCGTACAAGGAAGATACGAATTTTAGAAGTTAAGGGGGAAATTTTCGAAGCTGATGCATGGATTGATGACGTGGCCTAAGTCCCAGCCGTTCGATGAGCTTGCTCCAGATTGTGACACGCCACCCCTCGCATTACGCCCATCGTACGAGATCTCGTACGCACAATGTACAACTGGTCTGCTCGTCCCAGAAGCGAACACATCGCACCATCGAGCCTTCACCACCTGTTGTCCCTATCCGATGTTACACCCCACGTAACCTGCTAAACGCCCAACGTAAGTACGAAGTTTACAGTATAAAAGGGTGCGAGATGTTCCGAGGAAAATGCACCAAATCTATTCTCTCTCTAGTTTCTTTCTCTCTCTAGACTATCCTTACCCCATAAACCCTAGGTAATACCTTAGCTCCCGAAGGAAGCCCCGAGGCTCCCAGAGTCCCAAGAAAAAAGGTCTTTCGGTTCAGAAACGCTACTTCAAGCAAAGCCTGGTTTTCTATAAAATCCGCTCTAAGTGAGCTACGCCTACGATATTTTTAATATAACTTTTATTTAATTATAGTAACGTTATTAGGAACTTATAATAAGTACTTGGGCTATTATTATGGGTTATATAAGTATTGCTTAATGCTTATATAATACTAATAATAGCTAGACTATTAATAAGTCACGATTAATGTTAGACTAAACCCTAGTGGTACTGATACTAGGTTTTGTCAATGGAAAATTATTTTGAGATAACGAAGCGTTGTCTGTGTACCAAGTCACCACCTTGACAAGTGAGTGCATAGTCACTTCATCTTACACATAGATATGAAGTATTTTATATAAATTATGAGCTATGTGTGCATATTGTCTGA